AGTCAAAGTGGTACTGCATCAGCTACCCTTGACGTGGTTCCAATGAACACACGTAGGCCCCGTACTCCTCCTCAAAATGGATCCATCCACACATTTTGAAATCACCCTAGGTTCAAACATAAATTTGTCTAATTCAAACCAAATCACAAAGATGAAGTCAACATTGCAAATCTTTCACTTTTTGACGTTGTTGGGGCACTTGATGAATCACTAATTCGAGGAGCCCAGTTGCTTGCTCTTGATATGGATCAGAGGCACATAGCAATGGAGGCAGTCTTGTAGGGGGTACTGCCCCACCATCGAGCTCAAGCTCATAGCTCCTCCCTTCAACGGGCTTCAATTCCTCCAACCCAAGCATTGTCCCCGTCGTCTTGGTTTGGTGTGCCACCGTCAAGAATCATTGTCGTCCCAATTGTTGTCGCCACTTATGGTTCTTGCTGGAGGAGCATGCGAGAAGCAAATTGAGAGTGAGAGACGAGTGAAGACGACGAGCTGACCGTGCCATTTGTCCTGTTTGGACGAGGGCATTACGGTCCATACGGTTTTCACCGTATGCCACGTACGCTTGCAAGTGATCCCAAGGCCTCTGTTGTCCTAGAGCGTGGCATATTTCATAGTTTAGAAGAAATATAATGGCGTAGTTTAGAATAGGCAAATAGCAATGTCAGTTCTCCAATCTGAGAGAATTCTAATGGCATCAATAAAAAAAACCAAAGAAAAAATGTCATGTGTTGGTACATTGGTGCTGTCTTATACATAGCCTCATGCAGTGCCAAGTAACTATGAGATGATTAAACAATCAATGCATATAATATGTTGTCTTTTGAATTGTCTTATAGTAATTTGATTATTCATAATTTGTGCAATGCACGAAGGAGAGTTTGTAACTTGTATGACAATATTAAATTATATAATGCAAAATAGTTGTCTCATAGTCTTATAATTTTTTTCATGAGATCGTTGCTTCATGAACAACTTGTTTCTTTCTCTCACCTTCCTCCCCCCCACTCCACATCATCAAGAATTCTAATGTGGCATTACACGAGACTGGCGTTTAAAGCTCCTGAATGTAGCAATGTATCTGCCATAATGGTTGAAAGTTAAGGGTGACTCAAAATTGTTCCCCTTTTAAATATTTAAAAAAATACAATACCACACTTGGCAGTTTGTTTCCTTTATTGATACACGGCAGTTGATATGTTGGGTCCCAAATTGGCAGCTTGGTTCCATAAAAATCGTGTTGCAGAAAGAATATCCAACAGAAAAGTTATTTGGAATAACAAAGCGGTCATTGCTCATTTTTAAATGTGATGCGATTCTCCAAAAAGGTACTCACTGATAATTCAGCTATACGTGAACTACGCAAGTGCAACGCAAATATTAATATTCTTGCTCTTTCTGAGCATTCAGGACAACAGCATTTTTATGGTATTGCTAGAACAGCAAAGTGAAAATTTCAGCAAAAAAAAAGGTAAAAATCAGGAAGCCCACTGAACTAGAACAGCAAAGTGAAATTTTCATCTCTTTATGATCATAAGCACCTGCATTTTTATGGTATTGCTGAACAGCAAAGTGAAAATCTTAGAAAAAGGTAAAAATCAGGAAGCCCACTGAATTAAAACAGCAAAGTGAGCCCACTGAACTGAACAGCAAAGTGAAAATTTCAGGGAAAAAGGCAAAAATCAGGAAGCCCACTGAAATTTATCAGAGCCAGGTTTCGATCCTGGGACCTGTGGGTTATGGGCCCACCACGCTTCCGCTGCGCCACTCTGATGATGCTGTTCATGAGCTAATCGTACATTTATATATTGACTTCTTATGTTGTTGTTCAGGAGCAAATTATATGTTTATATATTGATTTCTCTTTGGTTCTGAAACCAAGTGCTCTCACTGCTGAATACTGATCTTACGTTAGCGAGGACAAAGTAAAGGTAACTAAATGTAACATCTATTGTTATATTGTGTCCTCTTTGGTTCTGAAACCTCAAGTTCTCTGACTGCCTGCTGAATACTGATCTTTACGTAATTAGCATGGACAAAGTAAAGGCAAGAGAATATTAGAACAATGCTCAAAATGCTTCGGCGTAGTCAAAGCATAGTTGAACACTTGATTTCGGATTTGGCATCTAAAGATTCTGATAGCACTATACAGATACAAACTTGACAAATCCATAAAAATATATCACACTCAGAAAGTTTTCATGACAAGCGTGGAAAGGAAATCGTGAATCTGGTCGCAACAGATAAACGATAAAATGATTCCTCACAAAACAAATGATCAGATTCAAGTTTCCATCGTGCAGTTCGGAAAATACTAGATCGTACAAACATCTAAAGTCTCCACCAAATTTCTAAATCATAGAGGAAACTTGAGCTGCGGTGGCAGAGTATGGCATTGGAGAAGATAGGCACCATCTAGTCTTCAGCTGAACTCAAAGTCAGATCATATTGCAATTTGAAGTTTGCTTTCTAGTTCCGTCCTTTGTTTTCCTGCCACAGTTGATTGCTTGACATCTCTCTCCAAATGCTTTTCTTTCTTGTGCTGCATTTTTTAATAGTATAAGCTGGTTAAATGAGGCAGAGCAGCGTTGAAATGGAGTGACATAGAAAAATGAGGCAAAGCTGCCAGAAATCCTGGAATAGCTGTTCATTTAGCACCTAAGAAGCAATTTAATCGAAACCAAGCATGTAGTCCGACAAAAAAAATGCGCCATAGAAAAAAGAAGCATGTAGGGGCGATACTGGAAGTACCATAGTTTTTTTTACATGAGTCATTTTATGAATCAATGATTCTTTATGGGAATGTCAGCAACATATGTTCATATATATAGGCCTGTAAAATGATTGTTAGGAACATGGTACTTCAGCTTAGTCCAGAGAATTAATCGACGAAACATGTCAGCATTTCATTTTTTTTTTGGGGAATATGCATTTCCTTTTTTATGCTGTACTCATTTAGCAGTTGAACATGAAGTGAAGGACTGAACTAAGCAGAAGAGAATTTGGTAAGAACCGCAGACTGGCATATGGCCAGAACATGGGAGATTTTTTCTTCTTTTTTTTTGGCAGTATGACATGTTAATTTCACCTTATCTTCTGTCTTTTCCATGATATTTTTCAGTACAGAATGAGATTCCAGCAGTTTGGGTGATGATAGAGCGGCCTTTGGAATCAATTATCATTTTTTTATGAGTAATACATATATGATGAAATCTTAAAAAAGGAGTTGTACCTTTGGAAGGAGACCTTCTGCAGACATAAGTTCATACAGTTTGTGCATGATTGCTTCTTCTTCTACCTGTATAACATGGCAGACACAAATTAGTATGCACACATATCAATCTTCTAGATGTATTTAAAAGCTCATACAATCTAGGGATAAACCTGAAGTTTATGCAACTCGTGAGACATTGCTCGGTATGTTCCCATTAGTGCTTGATTTTGCTTCTCCAGATGCCTGCATATCTCTTTTATCTTATATCATGAGCTAAAGTTACAATCCCTTTTACTCAAAAGGGTCGTGAAGAAATTTTACTTGGACATTTCAGCTGAATGTTTTGGTTCCATTATCATCAAGACCTGGATACTCCTTCCTGCAAAATATCCATCAGACAATCATTCCAAATCAGCTAAAAGATGCTACCGAGTTCAGTAAGCAGATCCTTCATGGTACACTGAGCTATAAAATATACAAGTGCATGCCACATGTAACACATAAGTCTTTTTATCTGAAGAACGCCTTGCATATCATTAAAAGTGCACAAACTACTCCATGGCAATATTGCTATCGACCATTACTCAAGTTTGAGATTAAAAAAAATTAAGAAGTTTGCAGTAACAACCAATGAGTACTATTGAAAAATGGTAGAACCAAACAAATCCGTGCATACAAACGAGGAGTTCTTTGTTCAAGAAACAGGCAATCAAATGAGCAACAAAAGTCAGCTTCAGTGTCGGTTAAGCTACGAAAGGCTTGGCAAGATGCACTTTCTAGTTTTCTAGAGTCATACAGCACATTTTTGAAACAGGTTCTTGCTGGCTTTTTTACAGATGTGAAAGCCAAATGTTCAGGAATTAAGCGGCGTTTGGAATAAAGATTTGGATTTGATTGACAGAAAAGAAAGGCAGGAAAAGAATTTTTTTTTTTTTAAAAAACTAATCCTTAGAAACAATCAATCCTGGTGAGCTAGGGGTTTCCTTACCAGGAAAAGAGGAAATCAGTACAAGCCCAGACGGATCTATACGGGGTATGACAGAGACACGAGAAGGGCAGCGAGGAGGAGCCCAAGGAGCTAGTGAACACCAGGTTGCCGGCAATGTGATTTGTGTGACAAGACAAAAGGCAGAATGGGGAGAAGAACAACTACAGGACAAGGGCTCGGAGATTTGTAATATTGATTTTTTTTATATCAGATGGCCATGTGAAGTTTGGAACATATTTATTTATTATTTTAATAAAAAATAGAAATGAGCAGTAGCACTTAATTATTACTAGAACTGAATACCTTGGCAGGGCCAAAATGGACACACATACAGCCAGCAAGGGTAGGATACTTCGGGGCTGCTTGACCTGGCCTGACCTGGCTGGCACCAGCAAAGAATCTGTCATGTACTAGGACGATGGATGGGCTTCTAAGATGGGCTGCGGGAGCGATGGATAGGCTTCCAAGCTGGGCTGCGGGATGGGCTCCAAGGCCTTCGCTGGACAGGAGCCGAAAGGATAAAGTCCAAGGCTGCTTCGGGAGAAGGCATCGAACAAGAATAGAACTTCGTCGTCTACCTCCCGTCCTCTGTCCAAGTCCCAGAACCTTCTGCTGTTCTTGCTTCTCTACCCCGATTCCTTGCTATTCCCTATCTAAACTCCCTCTGATTCTCCAGATATTGTATCAGTTACCCTTATAATAGTGATTGGTAGTCAAGGTTCGTGACAATTGGTTATCAGAGCCTTCGATTCTTGAGCCCCAAATTTTTCCCCAAATCGATTGAGCCCAGTGGCTTCCATGGGAAGTGTTCTTCGTGTCACCGTGAGCCACATGCCTTGGTCCTTGCCAGATGAGGTTCTGCTCCAGGTCTTTGGACCATACGGCGGCAACAAGGTGTTTGTTCTGGAGAGGACAAGTTGTATGGTGGCGTACATCTTCTTCCACCCAGACCGTGATGCATCTGAAGCTCAGAGGGCACTCCATGGACGTTGCATCTATGATAACTGATGTTGGATGGATGTCCAGATTGTGTTGCGGCCTTCCACCTGCAGCAGCGGGGTGCAGGCCACCAAGACCGCGTCTCCGGATGTTCCAACGCCGCCACCAGCTCCGCCCACGCCTGCAGCGCCCTCGGGTCGCATCCCTGCATCAGCTCGCGTCCCTGCGGTCGCTGCGACTCTGACCCCGTTGTCACTGTCGACTACTTCGCCGATGTGCTCCGCCCTAACGACGACCACGACACCAGCTGCGCCGCCCACGCCTGCAGCACCCTCGGTCGCGTCCACAGCTTCCACTACATTTCCTGCCCCGACACCAGCCGGACCGCCCACCACAGCAGCTTCAGCGGTTGCGTCCGCGCCGGCCCTCTTCAGCGCAACGGCCGCGAGCAACCCCGACTGTTTCGGTGCGTCGTCGCCTCCACGCGCCGCCGCAGCCATCTTCTTCCGGCTTCCAACACCGGATTCCCTCACCGCGAAGAAGAAAATCGCCAAGAAGTCGGTTCGGGCGCGCATCTCCCTCGGCGTCGGCCAGGAGGCGTCGCTTTCCACCCGGCTGCGTCGCACCAACGTGTTCCCAATCCGTACCAAGGCTGGGAGGGTCGAATGTCGGAGCGAGAGGAAGAAGGCACTGACGACGCCGCGGAGCAAGGTCGTTCGGCCCAACAGACGACCTCCACGCCTTCGGGTCTAGGGGCTGGGCATGCGGCCTCGGCCACGAAGGCGCGCTCTGCGTCACGGGAATCGCCGGCCGCGTCGGCGCCGTCGTCATCACCGGAGGAGCGGGCGCGGCTCAACGCCGTCGCGCGCCTGCGTAGGCCGCCCGCCGCGCGTGCGAGCACAATGCTCGACGATGGAGAAGCGAGGCCTCAGCACCACGGCCTCGACTGCGAGGCGCGCGTCCTGGCGCGTCATGAATGGCAGCGGCGACGTGAACGAGCGGGGCGGGCGCAGCTGCGGGCACACGCACCGACGCCTGCGTCGCCCTCGTCCTCATCGTCTGCCTCGGCTTCGCGCGCACCACCACCACCATACATTACGAGAGGGGCTGCCACAGGGGACTCCGGGGCGTCATCCTCATCATCGTCGCTGGGAGCCCCGTGTGCACGTCACCTGCATGCAGACCCATGCCATCGTCACTCGAGGGCGGCGAGATGAACGACGTTGCAATAATGCCGCACGTTCGTCCTCCACAGCGACACCTACCACGGCAAGGACTCCACCAACCCCCATGCCACTCCAGTACAAGTCCTCGGCGGTCGTTGCATCAGCTTGGAGCAAACCTGCTGTTGTCTCCATGAAGGCCTTGGAGGTGTTTGACAGAATGTCATGCAGGTATATAGCCACTCTACAGCCATCTCAGTTGATTGAGGTTCTTCTGTTGGGTAGCACCACCAATTTTCATGAGGGCCTGAAGCAATTTGAGAAAAGGGTTGAGCCGCTTGATCATATTGTTCGGTTTGGAGCATACTCTGGTGGGCATCCATGGTTAGCTGTTGAGCTACTGAATATGTTTCTAGTTATGGAAGGGTGCAGCTACTATCACTTGGATGTTAGTGAGCAGAAGCAGGCGTACTGGAATGATCAGTTGGAGCCTCTTGGTTCACCACATCTGCAATTAGAATTGCCAAGTGCAAAAATTTCAGCTGACACCATGGCGGTTAGGTGGGTTCAGTTCAAGGAAGCATGAGAAGCTACCATCAAAGAACTCAGGGTTACGCACATGGATACTACCAGGTCTAGGAAATGTGACTGTTCTCTACTGGGAGCTCTCGGTTCAACAAATTCTATCTTGGAGTCGGTGCAAATCAGCTAGTCGTGGAGTGTCAATAATGCATGTGCGGACATCATATGTGCTGATATATCTGCTCATACAATCCAATCTACTCACTGTGGTGTTGGATGGAGGCTTGCTTGCTACAGGTTCTGTAGGGTATACCAGCTTCATTCAGTGGCTGCAGAAGACTGGAGCAAACTGTAATATTCATGATGATCTGGGAGGCTTGCCAATAGAGATTGTTGCGATGTACGAGTGCAAGAAAGAAGTTGAGTTGTTACTGCCCTTGATTTTGCTAATTTCAAATGTCAGAAATGGGAGTGTTGCTACGATGGTAATTTGCTATGCCTGATCAGTTCAGTGCTGTGCATTTGATAAGTTTCTTCAGCTCACTAGTTGCATGACTGAGCACCATTTAGGACAATTCAGTAAGGGGATGCAAGCTGTTGTTTACCCAAACTCGGATATTCTCACAGCAAATTCAAATAGCCGGGTGGTGGATTTCAAGATGAAAGAGATGTGGGTCCTTCAGTTTTATCCTCAGGCAGTGGAAGATCCATCTACAGCATCTCTGTTGATGACAGCTCAATTTTTGTTGAAAATAAACTCAGTGCCACTACATATTCCAAAAGATGCAGTCCAGATGCAGTCACAACCTTGGATATCTTTCAGTTGTTTTCCAGCTGGTGAGCAGAAACAATGGGCACCTCCTTTGCTAGGCAAAAGCAAGATGAACGAACTTGCTGACTGTCATAGAAGCCTTGTTGTGGTGGGTAAATACACAATCAGTGATAGGATTCAGATCACCACTTGTTCAGTTCTGACATTCAGACAGATGTTCATAACTGAAGATAGTTGCACGAACTTGTTGACTGATATGGAGAAAGTACAGTGGAAGCCTCCATGGTAATCTACGCAACAGAATTATGCTCACCACAGACTGCAGATGATGCATGCGGCTACAATCATCAAGTTCATGGGCAGCCTGCTTTGTAGTGCGGAAAAATCTCAAACTCCATGGGATCCTGGTGGCTTCAAGAGCGGCTTGAGGGCAAGCCGCATTTTAAGTGGACGGGAATATCATGTACTAGGCCGATGGATGGGCTTCCAAGCTGGGCTGCGGGATGGGCTCCAAGGCCTTCGCTGGACAGGAGCCAAAGGATAAAGTCCAAGGCTGCTTCGGGAGAAGGCATCGAACAAGAACAGAACTTCGTCGTCTACCTCCCGTCCTCTGTCCAAGTCCCAGAACCTTCTGCTGTTCTTGCTTCTCTACCCCGATTCCTTGCTATTCCCTATCTAAACTCCCTCTGATTCTCCAGATATTGTATCAGTTACCCTTATAATAGTGATTGGTAGTCAAGGTTCGTGACAGAATCTTGCCTAGCCAGGGGAGCCAATTTGGCTCTCTCAGGTGGGCAAGGAAAAACTCATCCGCACAAGTTCCAAACAAGCACGCTTGCTCCCTATCTTTGCTTGGTAAGGCTACCTGGTGACTAGTAGAGGAACCAAGCAGCCCCTTCGTCACTCCACAGGCCATATCCCATGGCATCTGTCCGAATCTTTTAAGATTTGGTGGGAGCATCTGGACACACTTCAAATTTCACCTTCTATATCTTCATTCGGCTATGCACTCTAAAATATTTCTCCTCCATATCAATTAACACCCCCAACGGACTAGTCAATTCTCATCCTTCAAATCTTATTTGTCTGCATTGTGTTGATATTCAAAATTTTGTAATTGTCTCGAGTAATTTAAGATGGAGCAGTAAACTATCTAGTTACCTTTGTAAAACTGATTCGTAGCTCCTAGTAGAATCAAATTCAACAACATAATACTAGAAGTATTCATCAACACCTTTGGCATGATAGAGAAATTGTCTCTAGAATGGATCATCTACTCTATGTTCAGGCAATACATAACCTGAGCACACTGTACTTTTTGGAACAACTGCCTACAACATCCTGAAACAATTGAGCACACGGTAAAAATTGATTTTTTTTTTGTTGAACTGACACACAGTACTGAGATCTAGTAGTATGTGTACCAAAATGCAGGTTTGAAGGAAATTCATCAACAAGATCGTTTTCTCTATGCTGAAATTGTTACTCAATGCTGCAATTATGGACATTTCAGTGCTAAAATCACTTCCTGAATGGACCATCCTCTAGGAGCAGACCAACCCCATCAGTACAGTAGCACAGTTCTTCCCCAAGGCGGAACAAAGAAGCACTTCTCCACAAATTGACATTAATCCCCATCTCAATCTCGTTTCCCCTTGTCTTCCATCCCAAATCAACACAAACTCCAATCCCAATCTCGTTCTCCCTGTTTTCTCCCATACCAATCAACACAAAAAAAAAGTCCCTAAATTCCTTTGGGCTATAGGGCTGAAGGCAACCCCGCACAGGAAGCGGGCGGACTGCTGTGCAACGCACTAGGTGGACGGGGGAGAGGTAGGACCTTAGACCTCCAATGACGTTATCCAGACTCAAAATAAGGCGTACACAGTATTTTGGATAGCAAGAACCACGGTCCAACAGAGCACCTAAACAGAGTACCCATTTTGCATTCCACCCGATACACAACGCAAATAAGCGTCTCCCAGGGAGACGACGCAAATGTCTGACGCCCGCAGTGGTTGGACCTTGGCGAGGCGCGGCCGGCTCGGCGAGGCGAGCCCGCGGCGGGGAGACGCCGGCACTTCCAGACGGGTCCCACGAAGCGGGCGCGCGGCGGGGCAAGGCGGGAGCGGGCGAGCGGGGCGGGCTGGCGGGCGGCTGCCAAGCGGGACTGCATGGCAGGAGAGCCGCCATGCGCGGAGAGGAGCAGCCATGGGCGAGGAGCAACAAGGCTGCCCAAATCCGGCTCCCAATGGTCCGAGGAGGGAACCCAGAACTCGGTGCGCCCCGCATGACGTCGCGACGGTGACCGGGAGCTCGAGCCCATGAGTTCGCCCGGTCGACGCCGAGGGAGGCGAGGAAGGCGTCAACGTCGGGTGGCGGGTGGGAAAGGCCAAGGCCCATGTTGAGGAGGTGGGCGCACGAGAGGGAGGAGGATGGGTGGGTGGCTTGGCCGCGGGCCGGGGAGTGGCGGTCGGCTTGGGGCGGCGCGGATCTGGAGCTGCCGCCTGGGGGAGAGAAGAGAGGGAGAGATCGAGCGGAGAGAGAGTAGAGGGAGCAGGGAGGACTTGCGTAGGCCGTTGGAGAGGATATTTTCTGCGTCCGTGACTCATTTACTGTGCATAACCTAAATTATGGTTTGGATCTCTATCGTTGGAGATAGTCTTAGGGAGAGGGCACATCGCCTAGGGATGATGAGGACGGGGAGCTCACCAAGGCTGCAGAGGAGCACCGGCGTATGACTTGCGGGGGTGACCCTATAGCCTCTACCGTGTCCGCGCGGGAACAAGACCATCACGCCGGGAGGGCGCCAGGGCGACCAGCGACGGCAAGGCAATAGCAGGCACGTTTGGTTTGGACTCTGAAGCCTGGCCCAGTAGGCAGTACAACTCAACTGTACCACCTGATCTATATCTATATCCCTAATATAATATAATAATATATAATATAATAATGCTAAAGAGGCAAAAAAATTTACCACTAAAATGTCCAACTTAACATAAAACAGCTCTCAACTTACCCTAAGGCTCAACTTAACCTAAAGCGGCTCGGTCTCGGAAGGCTGGACGAAAAACTCGAAGCTCGTTAGCTCGCTCGGCTCGTGGCGGGCTTGACTCGGCTCGGCTTGTTATGATAACGAGCCGAGCCGAGCCAATATTTTAGCTCGTTAGCTATAACGAGCCAACTCGAGTCAGCTCGCGAGCCGCTCGCGAGCTAAACGAGCCAAGCTTCCAGAAAAAAAAGTATCAAAACTTATATTAATTTTTGTATTACTTCATGTCTTACACTTTATAATTGACTGGTAACTGGTCTAGACCATATAAATTGACTGGTAACTGGTCTAGATACATTTCTTTTATATTATTATTATTATTCTCAAACTTTAGATAAATGCAAATATTATATTTTGTGTATTTTTTTATATCTGACTCGCGAGCTTAACGAGCCGAGCCGAACTGACTTTCTGGCTCGTTAGGATAACGAGCCGAGCCGAACTGGCTCGTTATCTTAACGAGCCAGAAGAAGCCGAGCCGAGGCAGCTTGTTATCCAGCCAACGCTTTGCGTCGATGTACCAAATCGAATATATAACGAGCTGGCTCAGTCTCGGTCATCAATTCTAGAAAAAATATATTTTTCTCCGTCAGATAGAACCGTCCGTTTTTCCGGGACGTTGCCGTCCGTATGTCCTTCTCCAGTTCCTTTTCGTTTTTTGTTCTCCTTCCCCGTCTGCAGTTCTGTACGTGAGTCTTTTTTTCCTTTTTTGTTTCCCATTTTTCTTATAAGAACAAATAATAATAATAAATATAGTTTTATGCTATTATGGGTGTTTGAACTCTTTGTTTCTCTAATCTATACAGCCTACGCTTTGCGTTGATGTACCGAATCGAATAGATCTATGGCAGTGTTGTACTCCTCCACCTCGGCGCGGCGCCCTTCAATCCACACCCCCGGCGGTGCCATCTCTCACCCCCGGCGACTGAGCTCCCCCCACCCTGGTGCCCATGGCGCTCCTCACGCCCTATCCCACGCCGTCGCTGTCGAGCCAAGCCAGGTACTGGTGCTGCTGGTGGCGGTGGTGCTCGTGCGCTACCGCTCGCCGTCAGCTCCGACCCGACAGCTGGAATTGACCGACCCAGGTTTACTCTCATCTATGTTGCAAATGTATGTTTTGAGTGTTCATTACAAAGGTATGTTGCAGTTGTTTCTTATGGATGTTGCAAAGTATATCGGGGATGTTGAACATGTTGCAAGTGTTTCAGAAGCATGTTGCAAGTGTTTGTTCAAAATGTTT